ATACTGGTGCTGGTGGCGTGTGTGAAGAGTTTCTTGAATGATCATGAATTTCCTAGTTTGTTCTCGACTCCCTCTTTTTTAGTATATAAGCCCAGCAAATAAAGAAGAGATTGAATTGCTTGAAGATATAGGTAATTGAGTCAAGCTAACAGTAGGCACCATAAGTAAAGTGTGTGAATCACTGATTTATAGCATGTGTTATAAAGGTTGTTAAGTTTAACGTACTGATTGGAAATTCTGTGTATTACAAAGTTGTATCGAGGAAAAATAAACTGGTTTAATTAAGAAAGGACTTGTATCGATGAAGTTCCTCGGAAAGAATTTATGCCAGAAATTAACAAACAAGCAGACACGAAACAGTATGTTATTGCCTTTTTTTAATTTGTGAAAACTGCCAAACAAAAAGTAAGTAATGTTCTTGTTACACATTGCCTTCTTATGTAGAAAAAAAACAGATAAAAATCAATTAGGAAAGATTCTCATCCTGAAATCAGGAAAAGTTATTTCTTTAGTTTTTTATTGATTGTCATTCAATTTGTCTTCCAGAGGGTCTGCAGTAAGTTTACAGAATTACAATTCTACGATCCAGTGGACAGAGAGCAAATAGTTCATTCTGTAGTTTTGTGCTAGAACAGCAATAACAACAACGTCATTCAATTTTTTGATTTCACACATGAAATGATTTTTCACATGTACTCATTCAACTGAACAAGGACAAATATAATATTGTTTCACTATTATAATATAAATTATATTAATGTTTTAATAGTTTTTGGTTGTATTGGTTATTGCCAAACTTATCAAGATATTACTTACACTCACGCACAGAAAATAAATAATTTGATGTTAGTGCTTATATGAAATCATTGATATGTTACATATGAAGTTCAAAACTTTGTCAGTTAGTTCTATAGCTGTTTTATGTATTGATTTAGTTTTGCATGTTTTCTGTGATGAAAACAGTTATCTGCAAACACTTGTCAGGTCAGTTATCAGATTATGAGCAGGTGTATTTGTACATTGCACCACTACTATATGTTTAATTAGCTGTTTCTAAAAGATATACATTTTTTCTAGAGTCACCCAAATTAAGTAGCTCTTAAAGAAATACTTTCATAATGATGAAATTGGTTTTTGTTATCTTTAGTCATTTCAACAAACTACAAATATGTAAATGTTTGGAGCTCAGATATGATACTTATTCATTTGTTTCAGTTATACTTTTGTTTTATTTTATACCTGTGAACTTACATAATTTTGAGACCTCAAAGGAATGAATACCTTATTACTAAGATATCAAACGGGCATAAAATACGATTTACCTGTGATGTGTAAAAGAAATAACAGAAAGGTTAATTTTTTTGTAATTATCATAAAGGGCTAGAAAAACATATAACTCTTGCAAAAATTTGGTGTACATAATAATCCCTCCTTATTCATCAAATGGTTAAGAAAACTTTTTTCATCACCTAATTACTACATTTTGTTGATTTCAAAAAGTAGAATTAACAGATAACTATTTTTTTAAAGACATGATAATAGTTTCTGTTATAGTTAGGAACTAAAACTACATACAGTGTATGGTTTTAATGTAAATTTTTGTTGCGTATCTGCTTGTTTGATAATTTCCTGTAAAAATTCTTTCGGAGTGACTTCAGCGATACAAGTCCCTTCTTGATTAAAACTAGTTTATTCTTTCTTGTTACAAACTTTGTAATACACTTAATTTTCACAGTCACTTTAAACTTAACTACTTTTATAAACACGCTATAATTCACAGCGATTCACACACTTTACTTATGGTGCCTACTTTTCACTTGACTCAATTATCAATTATTTCTCTTCAGTCTATAACCTTTAGTTCTTTAGTTCACAAGATTGAAGAATATAAAAATATAGATTGAGAAGATCAATGACGAAATTATACAGAATATTTTACGTAACATTTCGTAGATTAAATAGGGTGGACAAAAAAAAAATCCAGAAGAGGAAAGGACTCAAGAACAAATTCAAATTCTCACATTAGGGTAATTCTCTTATATAATTACGAACCTAAAACTTATATAATATTAAAAGTTGAGTTATTATCTATGGTTTAATGCCAATATTGTTCATATATCGTGGTAATTAAGTAGTTTAACTAAATTTTGAATGTAACTCACTAAAATGTTGTGACATGCATAGTTTGACTAGTCCATGTGCTAAGAGTTCATACCACCTTGGCATCTGTTTAAATCCGGTGCATCTTGTTTGAATTATGGAAGGTGACAATCAATTGACTTCTCAAGTTTTATTGTATTCTGCCCTTAAATCCAAAATGACTGGTAAGTGTACTGCGAGTGATTCTAATGCCAGTAGTAAGCCAAAAATAGCAAGTAAAGCCATCTCAACATTCACAAAACTGGAAATCATCAAAACGTTTGAAGGACAGAGACTCACAGAGATTGCTAAGGCATTCAAGTTCTCACCATCAACTATAGCAACTATCAAGAAAGAAAAAGTTATCCAAAGTGCTAAGTCTTCAACACCTACATCTGCTAAATTACTAACTAGGCATCGTCCTAACATAATGGAAGAAATGGAACGTCTGTTAGCTCTATGGGTGGATAGCATGAAGCAGCAGAAAGATTCATCAATGACTAACATGGCTTTGCAGGAAAAGGCACTTTCATTATTTGAAGACCTACAGAAAAAAGGAACAGACATAACCAGGACCTAGTATAAGTACTAAAGAAACTACAACTTTCACTGCAAGTAAAGGCTGGCTCGACAGGTTTAAAAAAGGCACAATCTACAAAGCCTAAAGATGACCAGTGAGGCAGCAGCAGCATACCTACCAGTTCTAAAAGGTATTATAAAATAGGAGGATACAAGACCCATGAAGTTTTCATCATTGACGAGACTGGTCTATATTGGAAGATGATGCCAGACAGAACAGTCTTGTCAAGAGAAGAGAAGTCAGCATTGGGTCACAAAGCTTTCAAAGACAGAGTTTCCTAATTTTGGGAGGCAATGCAGAAGGTGATTTCAAGTTGAAACCCCTTATGATTCACCATTCTGAGAATCCACGGGCACTTAAGGGATATGTCAAGACCAATCTACTAGTCATATGGAGGTCCAACAGGAAGGCTTGGACAACAAGAACAATTTTCGAGGATTGGTTTACCAACTTTTTCTGCCCTGAAGTGGAGAGATATTTTTCTATGAAAAATCTTTCCCGAGAAGCACTGCTGCTTGTCGACAATGCATCTTATCAACCTAACTGACTTATCAACAAACATGTGTGTGGAGTTTATTCCCCAAACACCATTACTTTGATCCAATCCATGGATCAAAGGGTCATAGCTACTTTTAAAGCATATTACTTACGACGCATCTTCAGACAAATGATCAGGGCAGTGGACATCAACAGAAACACCTCAATCAGAGATTTCTGGAAATCTTTCAAATTAAGGATGCTATAAACAACATAGCAGTCTTGGAAGGAAGTTACCACCTCAAATATGAATGGAGTTTGGAGAAAACTGTGGCCAGAATGTGTGCACGATTTTCAAGGTGTCACTAATACAGAACCTGTTGTTAAAGAAATCGTGTCATTAGCACATTAGGTTGGATTTAATGAAATTGAAGGGCAAGACAACAATGACTTACTGACATCACACCATGAACAACTGGCCAATGAAGAACTTATGAACACTGACCAAGAATAGGCTGCTGATGAAGAGCGAGACAATGAGGAACCAGAGCAGCAATTAATTTTAACACGGAAAATGCTGTCAGATTCATTCTCCCTATATGAAGCTGTGGAAATCCTGACTAAAAATAACCCAAATTGTGATTGAAGCCTTGAACTTGAATGCAATATTGAAAGTGCCCTAACCTCGTACAAAGAACTTTATAAAAAAAACTTAAGCATACTAAGCAAACAGCATTAACAGCATTCTTCAGCCAACCAAAGTATGCACCCCTCCTTCCTACTGCATCTCTTCCTCGCCACGACAATGATGTTGACACTCCTGCTCCAGTGGTTTCTCCTGCCAAAGATAATGGCTGCAAAGCAGATCCTTATGCCCCCTATCTATGTTGATGAACTACCATCAACACTGCCAAGTGATGAGCAAGATATTGAATAACCTGCTCCAACGAATTCTCTTGCCAGTGCTCCTGCAGCCCAAGATGATGACTGTGAAGCAGAAGTTCATTCTGCCCCTTCTCCTACCAGCCAGTAACATCATACAATGCCCTCCACCCACATCATCACCTTATGTGTCAACCACTCCACTTTCCTGTATGTACAGTACTTAATTTGGATTTAATAAATTTATCAATGGCTTGCATTCTTTATTTACTCCCAAAACTGTCGTTAAAATATGTTCGCTGTCAGTTTATTATGTTTTGGCTATATATATATTTTTTTTTCTTGTTTTTTTCGTTTAGAACATATTTCTAATTATATAATGGTAGTCAATGGGAAAATCTACCTCGCTTTATGAAATTTCACTTTATAAAAGATTTTTCAGGAACATAACCCTTTCGTAAAGCAGGGCCCACCTGTATTCTAATATATAAAGTAGTGCACAACATGATAGCATTAAAATGATAGCCAATACATATTTAATTAACAAAAATATCACCTATATAAATTTCAAGTAAATGGCTAACAAAATACCTTTGAACTCAATATTATGAATGGGAAGGATATTTTCAAATATAAATCATTAAAACCACTCAAATCAACCCTAGAGTATAATACAAGCATATTTCTTCCATTTATACACAATTTTTTTCTAATTTTTAAAGGAAATCTGAACTTAAAAATAAATTACAAAAGAACTTGTAAAAACAACATGAAATAAAATCAGTTAATCTGCTGAAATATCTTTCTGAACTTTAATGAACTGTTCAGTTTCTAACCTGGTAACAGTCAGCATCTGAATGACTGCCATTCCAAGAAACAGAAGAAGAACACACAACAAGCAGTACTTGAAAAGTGGATCTACCTGCTTCAAGTAGGGCTTCTCCAGGTTCTTGTTACGGAAGAAAAGCAGGAAAGGTTCAATTTCTTTTGAGTTACACCACTGACTAAGAAATAATAAAAAAATGTTTAATTTTTTATGGTCACATAATTCATTTGATAGGTTACTTTAGCATCAGTAAAAATTGATAAAATACATAAAATGGGTGAACATCACCATGAAACTATTCTTAAGTTAAATTTCTTAAGTTTGAAAACAGTTCTAGTAATAGATCTGAGTGTTAAAATTAAAATCAATTTGATGTACTGTAATGTTGCGTCATCGAGATCACTGACTATTCTCACGCCCTCTACTTTCTAGAAATATCCTGTACTTTGGCGAATGCTCTAGCATTTACTAGATATTGGGTAGTCTGGTATATAAAAGAGGGTGACAACGTGACGGGAATGTAATGTGTGTGTAGATAGTGAGTAATTGAACTGCAGTCAGAGTGTATTGTTGAAGTTGAGCACATTCGTTGTTGTAGCGTTTGTTATAGCGCGACTGTTGAAATTAAGTGTATCGTAAAGTTGTATTCGGAAAGAATAAACCAGTTTTATTAAGAAAGGACTTGT